GTGTCCTTAAACAGTAAACATATTATGTATTATTATAGGGAGGGTTAATTATTTTATCTTCAAGGTTTATTAGCACCACAAGTAAAACCTATTTACTCACAACTGTGATTCTGAAGAACAATGTTAAACTGACTTAGAATGTAATCATTTATTTGTGAACTTTTGTAATTCCCCAGAAAAGAAGTAGTATTGTGCAAATGATAATGCTCTGGTTTGCTCCATATTTAAAAATAAAAACAAGGGGACAAAGCCAGCTTTTTAGCTGGCATTTAGCTGGCAGTCCTTAAAAGACACATTCAGGTGTGACCTTCATAAGTAAAATCACCAGCCAGGTAGACTGTTATACTTTTGTAACATGAATATTTGGCTGAATCCGTTCAATAAAATATTTGTTTAAATGCATGCATATTAGAAATAATAATTCATATGCCAGCATTTTCTTATGAGAGTCTTTTGGAATTCAAATTATTTACATTATGCTGAGATGCATATAGAACGTCTATAACAAATAGACTGATAATAAATGAAGTGAACATTTATAGAAAAACAAACACAAGTTCGGTTACATTTCTGTTCAGTATCAAGCAGTGTGTTGAAAATGCGTTTTTCATAAAACCACATGCAAGGCTTTGTGATGGTGAAAAAATCACCTCACAACAGCCTCATGTCTAGGCAAATCCTTAGAAGCTGGTATGGACCTCACACAGACATTCCAGAAGAAAAGACATTACTAGAAAGTAGTTTCTCTTGAAGTAAAGTAGAATATGTGTGAGCCTACTAGGCCACTTTGATAAATAAATAAAAGTCTTTTTTCTCTTCTAGCACAAAACTGGTTCAGCTGGAGGGCAAGTTAAATTCAGATTCGTACTTTACTTGGTTGTTTTCTTTCCTTTTTTTTTTAAGTGATCCCTTAGTTTGTTGTTGTTGCGGGGGTGTTTTTCCTAAGACAAAGAACCATTTGGCTTTGGGTTATCTGAATTTCGCCTTCTGGCTTTACAGTATATCTCTGTGAAACTCCTTTTCAAGACAAAACTCAGTGTCCCAGGATTAGCTGTACTACTTTAGCTGTGGTTTGCTTTCAAAATTTATGTGATTAAACCAATAAAGAGTTCCTCTGAACAATCTGAAATTAGTGCAAACCTGACTTAGTTAGAGCAAACAGTATTGTCAGATATAAGTTTTATCTAAAGAACTTGTTGAGACTGCAACTCTATTTAACTATACTCAAACTGTATTTTTCTATCTCAAATGCTTCAGTTGGTTCTTTGAAATACTCCATGTGCTGCCTTTAGTGCTTAGACTAAATTTAGTCATCAATATCAAGCCTAAATTAGGCCTAAAGCAATCCATGAGCTTTTGTAATGCTGCTCTGTTCTTGCCATGCCTTGGGGTTCAGCAGCCTGTGTGCCTCCCTTTTGGCATTTCTGGTACTCGTACCCCAAATGCAGCTGAGTTGGCTTTGGCTGCCTTGTATCAGTCACAGCTCCTAATGTCAGAGCTGGACATTGACTAGACCAGGATTTGTATAATGGAAGCTTCCTATCTCTTGGTTGGTATTTAGGTAAACTGATGCAACCTATGTGGACGATTTTCACTTGCTGTGTTTATTATGTTCTGAAGGAAGCTTGCCTCTGTATTTCCTCTTTATTCTGTTTTTACTGCACAAAATCAACCAAACCTTAGTTACTTGGATTTCTTTTCAGCTTAAAAAAAAAAAAAGAAAACCCTAATAAAAGTAAAGTTCTAAAAGCAGTACTTTCACTGTAATAGCTAAAATTACAGTTTTGTATCACTTTTGGACACGTTCTTTCACACCTAAGAACTAATTTTCAGGGATTTATAGTTTTTCTAAGCAAGAAGAAAATCCATAGGAGTCCAATAGTGTCTTACATTCAAAGGTTGATTTTCAATTTACGCCTAAACTTTGTCCATTGTGTCTTTCATATGAAATAAGATAACCTTGTCTATCTTGTATCTATATAGTTTTAGAACCAATTGGTACATTCAAAGTTTTTCTATGTTCCTCAAAGCTACTGAATGCATCCCACTTCCATAGCAATACCAAGTATGCCTTCTGTTGTTTTACTTCATTCTCCTTTGTAAACCATAGTCAGTCACTTAACTTGTTCAATGTTAAAACTGACGCAAGAAATCAATTTGTAGCTTTACTTTGTAATTCACAGCACTTACTTTCGTTCCTCAGGGTGTCATATCTCCACTTAGGAAGTAGTCAAATTAAAAAGTATGGTTCTTACTTTTAGGTTACATTTCCCTATCTCATCCCCTTACACAAAAAGGTTAAGTGTCTTTTCAAATTAAAGCAGCAGTAATTAACCAGTGGCATTGTTTGTGGTTTGCCAACTCTGGGCATTAATGAGAGAGAAATTAGCACTTAGCAGCAGGAGTTCCTGATAGTGGCAGAGGCTTAATGTGCCAACAAGTTCATTTTGGTCTTAAGTACTGCACTTAAGTGCAGTAAACAAAAGTATGGCAGGGGTTTTTATGTGATCCTACACAGGAGCTTTATGATATAGAGCTATAATAGAACAAATGACACAGTAGAGTTGAAAAAGTGCAACCTAGACAGCAAAGGGCAAACAGTCTTGCTGTAACAACACAGTCAGAAGCAGGATTGATGGATGTTTTCATGCCAAAGATGTACTTGCTCCTGCCATTAACAGTCTGCAGATGTTCTTGTATATAATTTTATTATCAAGTTTGGTATTTCTGAACATAATTTTTAAGCACCTCAAAAATTGTGCTTGAGCTGAGGTGATTTGCTCACAAGACGTAAATGAGCCTTTTGAGGTGTCTCGAAATTGTAATTTTATTTAAAATTACAGTTTCAAAAAATAACTAAACAAATTGCTTAAGCACAGTGCCACATGCATTTTGTGGTGGATGGGGGATTCAGACTGCCACACAGCGAAATGAGCCCTTCAGAACTTGGGTGAGCAGCTGCTCATTAGCATCAGGATTTTACCTGGCACATGTGCTCGTAATGAGTAACTACTTGCATACATTTCATCCCTTCTGCCTTGCACAAAATAGCCCATTAAAATGTAAGGTCTGTTCCTTATTTCTGGAGATTTTGCTTTTAAAATAATTTTGGTTAGTAGGCAAGAACATCCCCACCCAATTACCCATTTCTATAGTTGCTTGATGTGGGAACAGATACATAGTGTGAAGTAATAAAAGTGAGGGCCCCTCCTGGATCAGCAAACTGCTGTCTCTCACCAGAGGCTGAGAGCATCACTCCTTGGCCTCACTTGCCTAGGGCCCTTGCTCCTGCTTGGGTTTCCAGGCTTGCAGGTACAGTGAAGTTCTGCACGTTTTGGCCCCACAGGAGCTTAAGCAAAGGACAGAGGAAAGAAGTCCATAGATGCTGAAGTTGTTGGCCAGACAGACAAACAGGAATTGGGTGTAGGCAGCATTGTCCTTCATAGTAGCCACTTTTTAGTCTGTACTGTATTTATTGCCAGACAAGTTAGGATATGTTACCTAGTAGAAGCAGATGTGTCAGTGTCTTAACCTTTCAACTTTCGAATATCACCTTTCAGTTGCAAAAAGCATATTTGCCAGACTCATCTATGCTGAGGATAATTTACACTACCACTGAACTGTGGCCACTTGGAAGTTGAAGACTAGTAGCCATAGACCAAAATGTTGCAATGCTCTGGAGCAGTTTCAGGCAAAAGAGTACCACATCTAATTGAAACCGCAGGAGGAAGCCACAGGGGTTTCTTCTTCCTTTGATGCCTGTTCCATTACACAAGCACATCAAATAGAGTTTTCTCCGCATTGTTGGAAAGAAACCACCCTCATGAAGCCAGTCTGGCACTGCCCACGGCTTTGAGTGCTTGTATTGTCTGCTCAGTGGACATTTAAGTTACTGTGCCTCCCCCCAGCACATATTTATTATAATCAAACGTTAACAAAAATTGGCTACCATATTGGTTGAGTCCTGAGTACAACTGTGCATATAAACCATTACATGACATTCTATTGAACTTTCTCTTGTACAGACGGTACCTAACAGCTCATCCTGCACTGTTGGTTTTGGCAAGTTCACTACAGCATATAATAAATCAAGGAAAGAAAAAGCTTTTTGGCCTAATGTTGTACAGACTGCTGTAATGTTAGACTACAGAAAGCAGTTCTGTTTTTAGACATCCTTTTACTAACCCAGCATTCATAATTTATGATTCCACTGTAAAATTCCTGCAACACTACACCAGAAGTAGTGCTGCCCTTTAATTAAGTGCTCTCAGTAGGAAAAACGTGAAACTGATGTGCAAAACATATCGCAGTACACAGTGATTGATAGTGATTACTTCTTTATGAACCCAGCCTGAAGGTCTGAACTTCCTGATGGGTAAAATAGTCCATGGGGCTACTTCCTGAGATTGCCTAGTGGGGATCAGTCAGAGTTAGCAATATCTGAGGGATTCCTGAGGCATATTTCAGAGCCATTACAACACAAACTTTCTGTTTCTTCTGAATTGTGCTTTATGTTAATAATTACCTGAATAATACCTCATTGTAGAGATTATATTTTAAGGATTCATTGTTGTCTTCATAGTATTATAATTTGAATGAACTGGGATATGTGTAAACCTTTGTGTCTTTAATGTCTGCACACACAAATCTAAAAGAGCAGGGTGCATGTCAAGAGAGGTTTCTCTGTTTATCACAGTTACTGAATGTTATTTAGTATTTAATACATAGGTGTTTTTTACTGACGTGCAGAATATTCAAAAGAAAAAAAACTGAAATTCTGATGTGGATTCTGTGAGTCTCTAAATAGCGTTCTTATTCATGAAATCAGGTACTATTGACCTCGATCAATTGCACAGTCAAAATTTGAAAAATAAATAGATGTTAAATGCTCCCTCCAATTTTGCCGTGAAGTTACCAGATTTGTTGGAATCACAGAGGTGGGAAATTGAAATTCCCCTAACACAGTTACATAAGTTCTTTTTTTTTGTTTTGTTTGATAGATTTGGCCCTGGATTAGTCATCTACTGGTATGGATTTATTGAAGAGCTGGACTGCCATCGTGAACGTGGTATCCTGCTAAAAGACTGCTTCCCTACTGACATTGTGACTCTGCGCCACAGCATGGCTCAGCGCTGAGGTTGGGAGGAAGAGGTAAATCCGGAAGCAATTTTACTTTCCTGCAGTGTAAACTAATGGCAGCATCTGCCCTGAACTTCAGCTGAACTCCTGCTGCCTGCCCTTATGCTACTGCTGCTTTACACAAACATATCAAGAGTTTCTGTTTTGCTTCAGACCTCTGTTGTGATCAGCCAAAAAAGACAGACACAACCCACTCATTATCAGCAGTTCAGTCTCTGTCAAACAGCTAGTTTCAAGATACTCATAATCTTTCTTCCTTCCGGATGGCTTCTTCAAGCATTCTAAACAAAGACAAAAATGCAGAGGCTGAAAGGTGGAGCTTTCAGTTCTTACCCCTGTTACAGAGTCACCTACAAAATTAAGTTCTTTTTATGAATTCACTATTTGCTAGTGACGTGACTGAAACACCTTCGGTGATGTGGAGATTTGGTGAGAACTGTTGTTTTGGGGCTTAAAACAATATAGTACAAAGCTGGTAAAGCCCAAGTGGTAAGAGAGTATCATGGCTGTTACAGTAAATAGCCAGATTTTGAGATAATAATTGGTGTATGTGTTTTATCACTATCTAATTGCTTAAATCAACAATGCAATCCCAAGTTAACAGTTAAAAAATAGGGGATTTTGAGAGGGGATGAATGCGAAGAACACAGGTTTTATTTTATGTACATAAGCTTGTGAAGTTTGAGGGTAGTGTGGGGGAGATTTAGTAAGTATTTTAATGACTCAAAAGTAACTCGTGTTTTGTCTTTTTCTCTCCCTCACCCCGGGCAATCTGTACCTAGGAATTTTTCTCTTAACTGACTAAGGAAGGAATCTCTCTTTACCACTATAGGTACTGTAGCAAATTTCTGGCACAGTGAAGTCCACAAGAGCAACGTGCAGGAGTTTTCTATGTGAGTTATTTCTGAAGGAGTTTACCATCCTGGTCTTCAAGAAGGGAAATTAAAAAAAAAAAAGATACAACAGTGCTTCATTCATACTGGATCAGTTCCACAAGACAAATAAAGCACATAAATGGACAGAAGTTTCCTGCGCACTTGTTTTCTTGTAAGAACCTTGTTTTTCTCTTGTTAGAACCACCCAGATCAGAAGTTTATTGAGATGGGTGTTAGCCTTTCTTGGAGTTTTGTGTTCAGTCTCTTTTTCCATCCAAATTGCCACTCAGAGGGACAAGACTGAGTCTCGGGTTTGTGGTCTCAGACGTTTTTTAATGACAGCGTCTTACTGGGCTTGACACACTTCAATAGTCTTTTCTTTGTTAACTATTACTCAGGAAAGGACAAAATATTTTAAAATGTCAGTGAGAAATTTGCATGTATGCTCATCATGTTCAGATTTTCTGAATAAAAGAGCTATGGATTCTGTTGTAGAAATAAAAGTCTGATAACAGTGTCCCTAAAGCACAAGTTGATGATGTTCTCCAGAAAGAAAGGGTCTCTAAAATATTACAGTGCATATTCATCACCTTTTTTTAGTTGAAGTGATACATGTGTGTGCCTGTATGTTTTCAAAAATCATATGCAGACTTTTTTGCAGTTTTGCCTTGAGTGGAAAGGATATTAATCCTAGTCAGGAGTTTTTCAAAAATACACAGTATTTTTATTTTTAATTTTTAGTTTTCACCTTAACATTTTCTGGTAAGTTTCAGACAGGAGTTTATCATTTTAACAAATCTTTCATTTTCAAGAAAAAAATCTTTAATCTTTTAGTACTCTGTCCCTTTCTGGAGAGATAAACTAGTATAGCTCCACTATCGTGAGTTATTGTTGTATAAAGATCTTTTCCTGGTTTGAATGTGTTATAGTGAAGAGATTTATTTTTCAAAAGTATTCAAACACCTGTAACTCATTTGCGTTCAACTATTTAAGGAATTGTGTTGAGCTTGTTTTACCTGACCAGCTGTAAGGATCTGCCCATAAAGATACACAGAAGCAATCTGTGAATGTAGCCTGATGCTACACACAAGTTACATTTAGCGTGTTACTCCCCCTGGGACTTTTAACTATGGTTTAGGTTAGTGGAATGTGTAAAATCAAGAAGAGAATAAAAAAGAAGAAATAACATTATCATAGTAGAAAATTCAGAAGTAATAGTTGTCTGAGAGAAACGGGTTTTAAAGGCAAACGGAATTTGTTTTAGCTACTGCATATGCTTTCTGTTATATGAAATCATTTAAATCAGCTTTTACATGATTCACTAATGCTGCTTTTTCTTTTTGAATAAATTAAATTTATCTGCACAGATGTTGAAAATTCTGCTAACCTTCATCAAAGCTTTGCTTTATTTGTTTTTACATTAAACAAATTTATGTGGAGACACACAGATAAATCAGTGTATTTGTTTATTTATTCCTCTACCTAATGCTGTGACATAACAGGTTGGAAAGCAATACAGCTGTCTTTAATCAGAGCTTTGAACTCATCTTCACATATTGCCTACTTAAAGAATCTGTATTAGAATGAGGATGAAATTAGCCACAAAAGTCTACATACTGTACTGTATATAATGTACTGTATTGCATGCTATCAAAAAAGCTTTGCTACTACAAAAACTATGCTGTGTCACTGTTTTAAATACTGAAAGCAAAACGTAAAAAAAAATTAGAACTGTTTTGTTGTTACTACTCGTATACTGCAAAAAAACCCCCTCATTTGTCTATTTTCTCTGTTTATCAGATGTGAACATCAACTTTAATATTAAAGAGGAGGCACTGCTGCGTGGGGTTTTTTTTCTTGGTTTGATTTTTTTAAACAGTGTTGTGACCATTAGAACCTTAAAATTAAAACCAAATTCAGTTTTATGGAGTATTCTGTAGAGTGTGCAAATGAATTATGCCAAGCCAGAAAACAGAAGTGAACATAAAACTGAATGATGTTCTCACTGGCATATATAGACTTGCAAGCATCTGCTGTTACAACCACTGTTACAAGGCCTGTTCTGAGCTTTAGGAATTGATGTAATTGTATTGAGCAGGGAAGCAAAACTTTCTTGTAAAGGAGGAGCAATGCAATGGTGGGTCGCACACTCTAGTATAGGAAGAAAACAGAAGTTTTACCATTCCTGTATTCTGGGGACACATTATTAGTATAAGTTTAATAATCTTTCCCTGAAGACAGCTCAGAGTAGAAGTAGTTTTGTCTGAAGCTGAAGAAAAGGAACCAAATATCTTATTGTGCTTACCTCATTGCATTAATAGTACTGATAGTTCATGAATAGTTTTCATACTTTTCTGTTGTATTTGTTCATTCAAAATTATTGTATCCTGATATTGGCTTTTGGATTTCTCCACCATCTAGACTACTGCAAAAGACTGTTAATGCCTCTTTCCAACTTCTGATCCTTGCCTTTTAATTTTCCATCTTACTGTAATAATTTCACTCTTAGTTATTCAATATCCTCCCACTTGTCCATGTGTCCTATTTGAAAAGTTTTCTACCATGTTTTCTACCACCTGCTTCTGATTCTGTTACTACATCTGAAGAGTGCTTTTCCCATCTCTGTATACATTTGAACTGACCAACCATCTAAAGCAATTTTACTCTTATTCCAATTTAAATAGCAGTTCTAGATTCCAGGAGACTGTCCTCAAATTTCCACATGGCTTTGTAATGAGGAATCATTGTGATACTCTTCACACTCTTGGTCATATCTGTAGGCTGGGAGTATTCACCAAACAGAACACTCTTAATGCAGAATAATCACTCCTCAATTGAGAGGAAAATTGTACAAAGGACTAAGTTAGTGCTTCTGTGCTACTAGAAAATAGGCAAAGGAAATATTGGGAATTCAGCTGTTAAAGCATCTCTTTCATTAAGGAGCCTTGCCTTCTGTGAGTTCATTTCTTGTTTGTACTTCTGCAAGGAGATCTGTTGAAGTTAAAGGCTTAGCTTTCCTCCTGTGCCAAACTCTACTTGGTTCAGAGTGGAAAAGATGGCTTTCTCCCCATTTCCACATCACAGTCGATCTGGCAAGAGCTTGTACATCCTACAGAGTGTTGTTATTTACCAGAACTGATAACAGCTCCTCAAGGGTCAACAACAAGTACACAGAATTTAACTTGATTTTTGGTGTTGCTTCATCTAATGTAGTTTTACAAAATAAAGCTTCTTCTAAAAGGATCTTCTGCTATTAGATGGTGAATACTGAGCTAGGGTAACAGTTGTTAGAAACATGGACTTGTTATGTCAAGGATGAGATGAATTACATTAGAACATATGCTGCTCAAGTATCGATTTAATATTACAGAATAAAATAGGAGGCTGCTTGCAAAAACAACACTAAAAAATTCCTCCTATCATGTTATTCTAAGTCACAAAGGGCCATTTGTTGTGGATTCACAGGTTATTCAGAAATAACCTTTTTATTACATTGACAAAAGAAGAAACCTCAAGGGCTTGCTCTTTACAGTGGTGTGATAGGAACCTAAAGTGTGCCTGTTGAAAAATGAACTAGCTAACAATGGAAGCTTGGCAGCAATTTCACCATTTATAGAGAAACCGTCTATCTAGTACGATCTGTATAAAATAGACCTTGCTTAGGTTAGGGAAAGGTCACAAGTTACACAAAGTTTGGATAGTCCAAATGCGTTACTCAAAACTAACTCTCCTGTGTACAGTAAATATTAATTGAGCCTGTATTATTAAAAACATGCCAGGATTCAAAAGATTAAATAAGGAAGATGTAATTATGAGCTACATAATAAACAGAGCAGTTTTAGTTCCCCTTGTATTTTTTACTTTCCTGCTATTGTTTCATATATGGCTGTTATACAAAGAGCAGCTGAGGTCAGCTACTATAAATTATGGGTTTTGTACAATAGTAATCTACCAAAATTATTCCAGAGGTGGATGAAAGAGCTTCAAAAGACTTTTCAAAAACTTTTCCACATAATAAAAAGACTCTTATTTTGATGCCCCGTTTTTATGAGGATTTCTTGGTTTAGAGTTGCATCTTAAGAGTATTCAGCTCCTTGCACTGGTATGATGATATTTGAGCACATAGGATTTGCATAATTTGTTTGCAGCCTCAAAAAAGCATGAACTGGTAATAACAAAAAAACTCTTTAAATACATTAACTGGTGCATTTTTCAGGCTAAGTTTTTAAGTTGATCTAAATAAAAAAACTTTTTTTTGTGTGTTTATTTAAGGAAGCCAGCAAGATTTCAAGTGAAATTTGGTACTTCTTCTGTTTACAAGCATACAAATCATATTTGCAATGATAAAAATTATTAAAAATGATAACAGCAATTCTTAGTAGCTCTCAGCTGGCATCATGCCCCTGCATGAGATGGCAGCCTGCCCTCGCTTCTGGCCAGGCTTTCACCTAGTGTGAACAATGGCATGTCATCTGCACAGATCCATAGATGTGGCACTGCGATGTCAACGCAAAATGAAATGTCAATGCAAGCGTATGGAGATGAAGTAACAGTATTGAAACCATGTCAGTGCATATCTACAGAGACCATGTTACTCTGTCAGTGTGATTTTAGGAAGATCACTTTGAAATGTTAAAGTGAAACGAAACTAAGTCAATTAGGTAATAACAATTGAGGTTCAGGGATTAATTGAGGGCCTAAGGTGAAGCCAGTGGCCATTAACCCCAACTAGTTATTAATTTTAGGGAAAGAGAGAAACATCCTTGGCTAAGGTTATTGTCATTATTATTAGAGAGTTGGGGGGGTTTATTCCCTGTGTTGTATAAATACTTTGGCTGTTGCTTTTAATAGTGATACACAAAGTGTGGTATTAAAGGCATATTAGTGCAAAGTTAAGGGTTTTTAGAAAGTTAATCTTCCCAGTAGCAGACAACCACTTATTTTTATAAAGACATTTAACAGATTTATATTGATGTCCAGCCGTCTGTAAACAGACAGATTTACCATAATGTATTTACCTCTGAGGACTAGTTGAAGGAAAATAATACAAACATGGAGAAATAGCCGTTTACACAGCAACAGCTGTTTGCTTGGCCCAAGTGTTTACTGTTAACTTAAAGCAGACATGTAAATTGGTCAAACAACAATATGAAATAATAATTTTTGAAATTACCTAAGCAAGCACCAAGTCAGGGTTATAAACTTTATGCAAATTCAGGATTTCAGAGTATATGACTGTAGCATTAGGACACAAATCTGTAATACATTATTCTCTTATAATGTCAATGAGAGATTCTTGCCAAGAGCAATGATTCTGTGGTTTAGTATGCTATACAGCACATAAAATCTGTCTGGGTCTCTGTCCTAAGGAGAGGAGGCAAGACACTGGATCAAAGGAATGCAATTTTTTCTTTTAAAATATTTATTTATATTAATTTTTGTGTATTTTTATACGATGATAATATAAACCAAACATAAAAACATTATTTTTGCT